AAAGTTCAATTGGTACATCTATTGTAAAATTGCATTGATAGCCAATTTTACATGTGTTCACTCCAATCATAAAAGTCTATGGGTTATTCAACTTGCCCAGGTTATATCAAAACTAGCCTTTCCCCATAGAAAAAATCTCCCTTAAGGGTCGCAAAAGATTTTGAGATATTCTAAGATTCTGCAAATCCGCTTTGCCAAAGAAACTACAGAAATCCAAAAAAAAATTAGAAAGCCAGACTTTCTGCACTGAACAATGGGTATTTTTCTGAAACCCGTGGCCTCCAACTTTATGACTCAAAAATAAGAAACAATTTCATTTCCCATTGAAAGTTGCTCTGCCCCAAGGGGCCAAAGGCTTTCTTTCATTTTTTTATCAATTTTTTTTGGGGTGGCTGCAGCTGCTTTGCTTTGTACTCTGTTTACAACAACTGTGTCTGTCAAAGTGAGCCTTTCGAAAAGTCAACTTGTCCCCCACAAATCTCTGTTGATGTAAGTAGTGGTTACATGCACTTCCTAGTTTAATGACAAAATGTACATACATACATGATTTAAAGGTACCGGTATTATGTGAGGCGTTCTAGCAAAATGAGGTCGAAAATGAAAGTTTGTGGGTATTAGAAAGAGAATAAAATTATCCTTACAATACTTTTTGTTGCACTTAAACTGGACATTCCGTTGACAAGTTATGGCTGTTTAAAGTTTGCATATCAACTTGTCAAAAAGCTAAAACATCTAAATTGGCCTTCAACATTTATATTTTTATTTGTGAAGATGAAAGATGCCACTGATTAATTTTTTCCTAAAAACACATTTATTCCACGAATTTTATACTTTTTCTTTAAAATACGCATCTCTTGCATCTACTGGGCATGTATGACAAATATGGGCCTATCACTAAATCTGAAAATCAAGAATTTTATTCACTTACAGTCCAGCAAGGTGTATATTCCGTAATAATTTGGTAGTTTTGTTTTTGATGTTTGCAAAAATTGTATGTTACCTTTACTATGTAATGTATGTAAGTTTTCAATACCGTTCATTTTTTTTTCATTTTTTTTCAAATGGATCTGTGTTTTGCAAATTTACTCTTCAAAATATTACAGGGCTACCCTTGAGATAATGCTACAGAAACTGAAAATGTCATGTTAATTTGAGTGAAAAACACATCCATTATAATCCATTCAAAAACTTCAGCCCCCCCCCCCCCACCACCACCAAATGAAAGACCTCCAAAGACCTCCCAAGAGGATCTTGAAGCATTCAGAAGAGTTATTGTGCATTTCTGCTAAAATGCAAAATAAAACAAACTGAACTGAAGTGCTTTGGCACTTGGGAATTGCTGTGAATAGTTTCACCTCAAGAGGTGTCTGCTGTAGAGATTTGGGGGGGGGTGGCTGGGACTGTGGGAAATTTGATGGTCCCATGTCCCTACATTACACTGAATAATTAGGCCCCAAAAAAAAAACAGTTCTGCTTGCGATTACATGGAATTTGAAAATTCCATGGGGTTTTTTGGGGGGCAATTTTTTTTTGTGTACGACTACGATCATATGGAGTTGTCTGCGTGTAGACAAGGTGGTAGTAATTGTTGATTTTCGATTTTTTTTTCTCAATTTGCCCCCCAAAAAAATTAGGGTCAGTGCTGTCAAATAGGGTAGGTAGTGTAACCGAAAGCAGAACTATTTTTTTTTTTAGGCCTTATTTAACAAACTTGTGAACATACGTGTACATAGTGTAGTTCCTATCAAAACAGCATGGCGTCTGGTCTACACCTAGCCTCACCGCATGGGGCATACAGCCAATAATAAATCAATGTTTGATCAACTCACTTTCAAAAATAACTAAATGCTTGGCCGACTCACTATCGTATTCATAATGGACAAATGTAAACCCTCACTTTTTTTTTCAATCTTGACACCTTGCAATACTTTTCACCTTGGTACAACACAAACTCAATGTGCACATACATGTACATGTATACATGCAAAGGCCTACTGTACACATCTCCTAGATGGAGAATAATAAGCAAGACAAGATTCAATGTACATGTACATGTACGTACTACATGTACCGGTAGGCTGAACAGTGTACATGTGGTATGTGTGTACGGCTGAAAGTTTAACTTCATACATGCACTACAAAGTTTTACTGAACTTTCCAATTCCAATGGCGTTCTACTCTATTGTCTGATGGTTGTACAATGTAAAATGTACAACATCTAGGTCATTATACGTGCCTTGAACTTACCAGGCAATTGAACTCTGTCCATGTATCAAATTAGTCTTTCCCCACACAACAAGTTCCATGTGACAATAATCAACTAAGGAACTCTGTAAATATCCTACTAGTCATAAACCCCCCAGGCTTGAAACACACAAATGTCCCCCCCCCCCTCCAAAAAAAGAAAGATTGACACACAAGAGCCCAACAAAGCACAGTGGCAACACTCTGCCCTATGTGCATGTACATTTTTGTACACACCAAACTAATAAATCCCTGTACCATTTCAAAGCTTATCCCAAAGGCAAACAATCTTGTACTTGGCAACATGCTCCTGCAGTGTACTGATCTGATTATGTGACTGTAGCATTATCCACACAGTATACATTGTATAAATATGTAGCCAGCAGTTTTAACTTATTTTTAGTACAGAAGTAGTAATTTTACCAAAACACACCCACACACACACAAAGGCAATACTGTTACTTTTTCTAAACATTGGGACTTCTTTTGGTGACTAGGGACCTTTCTCACCACTGCATGAACACTTTTTGCCTGTGGTTTATCTTGGATCTAAAAGCCTAAATTACTCACTGTATTTTGTATACTGTGGTTGACAGGCCTGTCCCCAGCTGAAAAACACGTATTTCAAATCATCACTCAAACAAAACCACAAAAAAAGGGAAACTGACTGGGTTCACTTTTGAGGTTTAACAAAAAAGAAATTGAGCAAGATTGGAACCTGCAAACTCTGGACAAATGCATTGACAAAGTTATTCATGAGACTGAATTCCGGCAAATTGAGAGAAAAACCCTTCATTAAATGAACCTGTATTTTATTTTCATGTACAATTATAACCATACCATTTGTGACGGTAAATTTCTACACATTTTAGATGGTTTATGGTCCCAAACAAAATTAATACAAATCTCGAAAAAAATTGTTTCAGTTTGTTTTACTATTATACATGTACATGAGCTTCATATGACTTTCAAGCTAACACTTCGCATAATGACAAGAACTGAGGCTCTAGACCGCTCAGAGACAATTCCTCCAGTTTGTACACCCCTTTTTAGCAGCGTTTCAAAATTCCCAGATACAGCTACTGAGAGAGTAACAAATTTAGTTATGTCTACATGTAGCTTCAGCACAAACATTCCCTAATTCCTGCCACTCAAAGCACTGATAATGTCACAGATAGACGGCCGAAGCAAGATACACAGAAAATGTAGTCTAGATTTATGTGCCTTGAAGTTGAGTGTCTTGGAATGCACTGTTGCAGTCTCGCCTGTGAACTTTTGTTCCGCAGCCAGACACAGGTTGCCCAGGTATCTCTTCCTGTGAGACTTAAATTTCCGTTTCAAACGTTATGATCAACTCTTACCCGGTACTAATACTGTACGAGACATGACATTCTCTGAACTCCGTCACGGTCTAGGTATTCATTTATCAGGGTCTCACAGGGAAGTTGGGGGGAAAAGGGTACTTAATTAAGCTTGTACAGGTGGCATGCATTCACACTACTTCCTCTTGTGGTCTGTTTGACACCACAGGGAGTTTATGGGCTTTGTTTAAGCAATCATTGTTTTAAATACATGTAGCTATATTAGCTTACTTTATTAACCCTAACTCCCTACGGATGTGCAAAATCATATTGAATTTGGAGGATTCAGGACTGTTAGGGATGGAAAAAAGCAGCATATTTTAATTTACAAAACTGTGCAGAAATGTTTGTTTATTCTGAAAAATTAACCCTAATCGTAATCAATCCTTCAATATCCTCCAGGTAGTTTTGGAAGATTTTGGAGGATTGAGGCTGAATGGCAAAAAAGTGTCGGGTGATTTAGGACGATGCTTTGTGTCGAGTTTATTGGGTGTACCCAGCATTGTTTATGCTCAGTCAAGCATAGTTGACTACATTAATATGCTCAATATCATCCGCACTGCTTCTGAATGTCATCGACACTGCCTCAACCTATTAACAGTGAATGTTGGAGGATTGGCATTCTGGGGTTTTTTTTACACAATGGTCTGTGCATGTAATGAGTGTAGAAATTTTAGGGGCGTGTGGCAATCGTTTTACAAAACTCATTTTGGGTGATTGGGTCGAAGTTGTGAAAGGGGAAAAAATGATGCATCTTGACACCACTTTTTATATTATCTCAATGAAGGTCAGTCATGCAAAAATATTGAAAAGACATAAATTTAGGACAGTGAGAAACATTTCCAAGTTGGTTAGAAAATACTTTGAAAATGCACTCAACTCTCCATAGACTTTGTACACGGTCACAAGAGTGGAGTCAAATTCCTTTTTTTCCTAATAAGTATGGTTGCTGTGCCTGTGGTACTCTCTTAAATTTCTATAGCAATTGAGTTTGAAGAAAATAGAATAATTTACATTTTATTTGTTAATGTTTTGGTCAGAAAAAAAACACTGGAGTTCAGCTGACCCCTTGCTGAAGTTGCTAATTATCAATTTATCAAACCAGACACTGACCTTATTGCAGCCTAATACTATAGTACGCCTACTCATAAAACGTACAATCCAGTTAAACTTCAAACACTTTATGCATCAACATTCTAGCTGTATTGTCTATTGTACACGAACTGTGCAGGGGAAAGAAATCCGCATTCAAAATCCGTCATCACACAATTGCTCACACCCAGCCTGAAACAAGCTGGCTATTTATTTTAAACTCCGGGTCAAGTTTGTAGTCGGACGCATTTTAAAATAATATTTCTCGGGCTCAAACGGTTTCGGGTTTCATAAATCACTCACCAGCTCCGCGTCAAAGTCAGCTCCGGCGCCGCTCACCACCAGCACGGCCAGGGAAAGGAGCACGACCACGGCGGCCAGACCACGGCTGCACAGGGTCGTTAACTTTAACCTCCCCGTCATCAGAGACATTTTTCAGGCCTCAGAGAATCCACCCGAAAGAAAATTCCTGTAGCAACCTCTACCAGAGCACTCAACAGCAGTTCCAGGGTGTGTGTGTGAACAAGTTACAAGGAGATAAAATCAGCTGGTCGTTGAAGGAAAAGAGGGTTAAATGTCCAAGTTTTCACGTGCACTCGAACCACTCAGCTTAGTTTGTGGGCCTACCGTACAGCCGTACAGACTACACACGCTGCGCAACACCAGTCGAGTGCAAAAATAAGTGTGCACTTTTAACGAAAAAAAGCCAAGTTAGTCCGTTCCTCGGAAGCTGCCGTGGCCACTGGAAATCTTGATTTTTGGAACCCACCTGCTTGATCTGTGAAATCCAAACGCATTTCACTCGAAAAAGGGGACCAAAATCTTGAAATGCTGGGCCAATTTCCAGCACCGTACCCGTGCAGTTGCAACGGCAGCAGCAACTGTACGTCGAAATCAGCAGTTAGCCAACAGAGCGGAACGTGTACTTTGTACTACTAGTGCGGCTAGCTAGCTGGCACTGATTGGAAGGTTCGATTATCTCTGTAAGGGGGGGGGGGGCTTCGAAAGTTCTGTAATACGGCTAAGTCAATTTCACGTTACAATGTATTATGAATGTCGACAATCAATTTCTCTTTCAACGATATACTATGTTTGAAATTATTTTTGTTGATTTTTTTATTGGTCTACTTGAAAATTAAACAATAGGCCGTGTTATGTTTGATGTGGCTAAATAAATATATCCCCTAGAATGAAATGGATCTGCCCACGCAAGTTCCCCATGTGCTCTGCCCTCGTCTAGTTTGTGCAAACTTTTACAACTTTTTTCCTCATAAATGTACAGTTATATCATTCGATATTATTGGTGATTAAAGCTGAATACTTTCTTGGTGTTTTTCCTGAAATTAAAATCAAGATGTCAGTTTCGTATACATCCGACAAAGTATCCTGATTCTTGAACTTCCAAAGCGGGGAGAAGGGAGAGTACATGTCGCACAATAAAAACTTAGAAACCGAAGATAAAAGGGTTTCTCGGTTTAATAATATCTTTCATAACATTATTCTGTAAAACTACGAACAAAGGTGTGTCCATTTTTAAAGCCATTGACGGACAACTTTTGACGAGTTTATTGCGGTGGCAAAATAAGTGTCATTGTGAATTGACGAGATGCACATTGTACATGAAATTATTGTCCATCCATGTGATGATGATAAGATGTTGCGTGAATGATTCTTATTCATGTTATTACCAAAAGAAACATGCAGGCACGCATGTGTTTTCTGAGAAAAAAAAACACACTGAAAAGATACAGACCACGTGTATTTTGGATAACAGGAACCGTAAGCAACCAACACACGGCCAGACGGTCCATTTCCCTTACGATAAGTCATTTTAGATGGGAATAACTTCAACTTGCCTAACATTGCCATACAGCATTGCTATAGTTAGCTCTTCTTTTTCCCCCATCCCATTGTATTATCTATAGAGGAAATGGGATAGACCACATTGCGCACAGAGGCCACAATTACTAGACCATGTCAAATCCATTTGCTTGGACAATACACGCTATGCGGAAGATGGGCCCATTTGAAGTAATAAAGAAACAAAAACCTCCCGAAATTGGTGTCTGTTGATGGCCATGGCGTCACGAGCACAGAGTCTGCCAAAAAAAATATTTAATGCTGCCAAGAACTTCTTTAATACGCCCAAACTATAGTGGTCGCAATTATAGTTGGGAACTATGGACTGCCCCAACTTGGACCCCATAGATGGAATGACCCCATAGTTGGGAGGGACAGTCCCAACTATATAGGACGATCCTCTCTTTTGTTGTTATCAACCATAAGATAGTTGGGAACCATACAGTAATTGGGACGTAACAGCCCGGCCAGAATCAAACAGACCTTTAATATTAATATGCGTGGCTGCCATCTTGACGACATCTCTTGTTATTTAAATTCAGGAACAGGCTGTTACTGAATTAAAATAACAAAAGAATGAATCCACAAATGGTTCACTCATGCATATACTGTACATGTATATACTAACAAAACGGAGGCATTGCTCTTTAAGATGGATGCTTCGCATAATGTCTATTTGCAAGCGCCGGGGAGGTGTCTTTTATTATTGAAGGGGGAACTCGTAAATTTTACACAATCTTTCCAAAAAATACATAGCTCGTTGTTTTCTTCTCAAAAATTTCGAGATACGTGTGGAGATGGGCGCACACATGGCGTGGCACAGTTAGCTAGGAGAGGATGACCCTTGCCTCCTTGGACAAGACGCCGTTGATGCAAAGACATGAACGGTCAGAACTTTTGAACAATACTCCTCCCCCACTAAATTCGGAATGTTGAAGTGGCTGCCAAATCATGAGTCCGCTCCGAAATCAACTTGTCTGCACCATTACATGTTTTTCCGTACATGCATCGGTAGTCATGGAATGCCATTTATACCGCCAAGAAAATCTTTGAACCACAAAAACCGCATAAAGGAAAATACCGTTCCGGCTCGACATTATTCTCTAGAATCAACAAACACTGCACCCAGACACTAATAACGTTCTGTTGTTTGTTGACATGAAGTTGTGGCATTGGAGATTAAAAATAAATGGAAAACCGTGTGTGGGAAAGCGATGTATGCTGCAAGACCTGTGTAAACTGTCGTGTTATAAAAAAAAAAACATAATAGTGATAGAGCAAAAGAGCAGTCAATATTTTTCCGTTGAAAATGTCGCAGAGTTTCAAATGCCATTTTCAAAGCAAGAACAAAGAACCGAGTGTACTGTGACGGGGAAGTTAATTGAAAACGAATCCTTTGTTCGTTTTTATTGTGTCTTCCTATGTGGCGAACATTATAATGAGGACGACTTGATTAGGAAATTTATAATTTCCATAACGTGGACACGTGACGACCGGTGTCCTCACTTTAACTTGTGGTTGTATTGGGGGCGGGTCTGGCTGTACTTTGTGCCGAGCCTTTGTTCGGAATTGCTACATCACTTTGAACAAGGACTTGAATCTTCTCCCCCCCCCCCAAAAAAAAGGGGGGGGGTATTTTGATTAACTGTACACACGGGAAGTCTCAATTAAGAAACCCGTGTAGACGATATAAAAAAGTGCGAAGTTTTAGAGGTTGGCGGGGGGGAAAAAGAAGAGATTATTCCAAAGAATCCCATAAAAATAAGTAGGAAAACCTCCCTAACGACTTTTCAATGTGTAGCTTTTGATTTTAACCACAAAAAAAAAATACTTTTTTTTATTGTATTTTGGATGTCTGCAACACTTTCAAAAGTGAGGAAATTATTTCATAATTAAACGTGGGCCGACGTTTTTCGGTCGATGTCTCACTCAAAAGCGAATGAATTTTGTACTGCTAGAAAACTAGTAATTTTAAAAATAAATGTATTTTTCGGGGTACAAATCGAAAACAAAACATGGACAGTATACATCTTTAAAAAGTCAGGTAGAAATCCTAAAAAGTGACATTAGGGTACATCAGGGATATCCATTGTGTTACAAATGTTTTTCATTACGGGGGGGGGGTGTTACATTCCACCATATGGCTAAATAATAAATGTCATTCAACTTTTGAGTCGTTTTACAATTGTGTTTGTTTACTTACTTTTCCACATTTGCCAGCCCTGAATCAATATTTCCGGGGCCATTCTTGGGGGGTGACTCAGCGATGATGGGCCTCTTAATACCCCTACCCCACGGCGTGTTGGACCCGTGTTTTGTGTTTCGGTTTGCGGTTTGTTGTGAAAAATTCCTCTGGATTTCTTGTCCTTTTCTGTCTAGATACATTTTTGGGGGTTGAAGTGTCACTTATCCAGCGAGGAGGCAATTTATCCCAGAAAAGTTTGCAGTTTAACGGGGGGGGGGGGGGGGGGGGGGGGGGGGGGGGGGGGGGAATCAATAAATCTGAGGTTGAGCAGCGTACTTTACCGTACTGGTTTTCCGGATGTCAAAGGTTTAAATCTCGCTCTATTCAATTTCTCAGTCCGTGGTTCAACCTAAAATTGACAAAATAACTTACCCCTTTTCTCTTTGCGGTTTATGTGATGAAATCAAATATTTTTGTACATTCCTTGGCTTTCAATGGGCTTTCATAAATGTCTACTACGCAAATAAAACATGCAGTCTCTTTCGGAGACAGAGACGACGTCTGCGTCCAAGAACATGAAGATGAAAGAGAGAGAGAGAGATAATATTAAGCATTAGTGTCTCAAGATATTTTGGCAAAGACAAGTAAATCAGGAATGTCGCATCGAACATCAGCGAGTATAAAATCCGAATCGAGAAAGACAATATCATACCACGTAGGTGGCAAATTTATGGCGGGTTTTTGTTAGAAAACGAAAGGCCACGGTCGCCCACAGAGTCCAGTCGCAGGCATTTTAACAACTCACTGCGATGTATTTTATGACATAAGACTAGTGGGGGAATCCTTTGTTGCCACTTGGTGGTCGTGAGTCATCCACGACTGTGGCCGGCCACCTGTGGTTGAGAATCCATCTTAATAACTAATAACTTGTGCTGTCATTCACGTCAGTTATTGATGGGTGGTTGCTTGATTGCGGTTCTTCCTGCAGTGGCGAAGATGATCCCCATGAGTCTTTACTATCGATACTACACTACACAGAATAAATTCCTCCTAATTTGTAAATACCTGATAGGCCATTTATAGCTCCACGGGTGGACATATATATACCTACTGACAACGAGGTTGTTTTGGTTTCGGTAGACAGCGGACTATTGTTGTTTCTTTATATGGATTAATATTTTATTTTCAAAATCACGAACGCTGCTTCTTCGTATTTTCTGTTCGTTTTCTACACAAACGTTAATTTTGGCTTATAGGCTTTTGGTTTGAATCGATTCGAAAGCTGTCTCCGTTTTGTAAAATGCTCACGGACGATGATTGAAAAATACAATGTATCTTGTTTCCATTTCTTTTGATAGCCGCTTTGGGAGCTTTTTTTTGCACCATGCACGGAGTGGTGAAAACTACATGTACAATGAACGATACATGCGCCAACCGTTTACAAACACGACGTGTAATGGAAGGGCGCCACCAACTGATGACAGTTGTTTTCACTCCTTCGAACCAATCAGAGACGAGCCCATTCAGCCTTTCAACCAATCGCGTTCAGGGTGAACCATTGTACACTTTCTCGGTGGGGCATTTAAATTGGCAACAGGTGCATAGCAACGCGCGTCGAAAAGGCATAGAGCGGACGCTGTGCCACGGCAACTGCCATGCTCTGTGAGTGTGAGCCAAGTTGAACGTTTTGGAACGGAAATCGTCAGAATTTGTAATAAAATAAAGGTAAGTCCGTGGACAATTTACTGGATGGATGAAATTATTTGCAGAAACGAAATCCGTTTTCCCAACTTTTCTTGCACCACGGACAGATATGTTTTTAAAGTTTTAGCTTCAGATTCAAACTTTAGATTTTTTGTTTTGTTAGACTTAATGGGAATTTACACACAATTTGTGAAATTAATAATAAATTCTATTATTTGTTATTCCAGTTTTTAAGACTTTGTTGGATGGACTGAACATTTATTCCTCCATGACTGAACATGCTGAACACGATTAGCTCAAAATCTTGAAGGGGGGGGGGGGGGAGAGAATGAACTTTGTGTTTTTTCAAAAGCGAAAATGTTTGTTTTCAATTTTAAACAACATAATGTTTGTTTTTAATTTCAAACAGTGTAATTCGTAAACAGAACAAAATTTCTTTTGAATGTTACATACAGGTTCCCTCGACTTTCTGTTTCACAAGCTTTCTGTAAAAATCTACAAATACTGTCCTTTTCTTGTTATAAATTAAATTAATTATTAATGAGGTTTCCTTGCATGTCTTGTATTTATGATGAAAGTGGAAATAAAGCAAAGTAAGTAAAGTAGAATCTATTCCTGTGATTAATACATTTTTTCATTCTAATTTCCCCTGCAGAACAAGATGAACAATCTGTCCCCCGCACAGAGTCTTCTCACAAGACAAAACTACCACCTCCCGTTCTACCCAAACCCTTTGTGACAAAGAGCGGCAAACACATCTCAAAGGATCTACCAGCTTCATCAAGGCAGAAGGCATCAAATGCTGACCACAGTGTGAGGGTTCTGCAAGGGTTGGAGCTCCAGCGAGTGAAGGAATTGCTGTGTGATGCTACTCTGATCGCTGGAGGTCGTCGATTCAGAGTCCACCGGGCAGTGTTGGCTGCAAACAGTGGATATTTCTGGGATTTGTTCAACCAGGACAAGTCAACTGAGGAAGTGGAAATGAACATCACAGAGGAGGAGACTGATCAAATAGTCTTAGATGGAGTGGAGCCTGTTGTACTAGAGAAGTTAATCCAATATGTGTACACGGGTTCCATCAATCTGGAAGACATGGGCATCGATTTGGTGAGGAAGGTTCTTCAGAAAGGGAAGGAATTCCGGATAACTGATGTGGCTTCATCGTGTGGAGAATATCTCCGCAAGAAACTGGATTTGGAGAACTGCATCGAGATTTATCTCACAGCAAGTGAGAACAACCTCGAGGGTTTGCGGTCGGCTGCTGAAGAGGTCATCATGGAGAATTTCAGCAAGGTGATGACCAGCGACGATTTCTTGGGATTGGACTTCAAGGATCTGCTTGCGCTGGTCAATAGTCCCAATCTGAAACTGAAGTGCAAGCTCGCACTCCACAGTGCCGCACAAAAGTGGCTGGAGCATGACGCAGACAGGATGCAGCATGCTAAAGAGGTCAAAGGTCAAGTGCTCAGCACCCCCATGTGTATCGTGCTGGGTGACGTGACGGGTCAAGCCGACACGGTGGAGAATATCCAAGAGTCTGTGAGTGGTGAAATGAGTCGAGATGTTCAGAACGGTAAGCAGAAGAGTGCTGGATGGGTCACCAGAACCCAGCAACCCAGCCCGTCATTCTGGCTTTTGGTGGGGAGGACAAGCAAGGTTTGCCCTCGGAGCGTGTTTACCAACTCCACCCCTTATCGGGCTGCTGTGAGCCCTACCATGCCATGCCCATACGCCGCCTGGATCTAGCCCTGGTGCCGTTTGGGGGCCAGGTCTTTGTCGCTGGTGGGCAGTATTCGTCAGACTCCCACGCCTCCGACAGCATTGGCACGGTGCACTGTTTCGACCCACGGACTGAATCCTGGCGGCAGATGCACCCCATGTTGAAACGGCGCGCCTTGTTCACGCTGAGCACCGTAGGGGATCGTATTTACGCAGTAGGGGGCAAGAACGCGCAAGGATCTCTTGTGAGTGTCGAATGTTTCGACCCTGCAATGAATGAGTGGAGCTACACCGCACCGCTGGTCATCCCAACCTTTGGCCATGCCAGTGCAGTGCACGATGGGAAACTTTACGTCACTGGGGGCGTCGTGATCGGAAAGCACTTCACCAACTCGCTGCAGTGTTACGACCCTGCTAGTGATATCTGGAGTTACCGGTGCCCATGGGTACCAGCGGGCCCTCCACATGATGTGCGCAGTTGGAGACAACTTGTACGTGCTTGGCGGGAACACGCGAACCGAACGGGGAAAGCGCGTGGACTGTGAAGTCGTTGAGCGCTACAACTTTGAGACTGACCAGTGGTCGCCTGTCAAGCCCATCCCGCGGCCAGTCTGCCTGGCTGGGCTGGCCTCACTGGGACACCGTGTTTACGTCATCGGTGGTTATAATGGACGACATGCTATGAGGCACGGGGATATCCAGTGCTACGACACACTGAAAAACGAGTGGACAAGAATTGGTCAGCTGCCTGAGCCTCTCATGCGTCTGAGCACGTGCACCCTCTCCCTACCCATCATGCAACACGGTAATGCTGGACAAACATCAGCCAATCAGAGAAGCAGATCGGGATCGATTGGAAACTCAGATTCAAGCAGTGAGGGCTCAGCTTAGGTCTTGTGACAATCCTTCAATCATGCTTGATAAAATAACGTACACATCTCTGTGTTTCAAATTGACTACATTAAAAACCAAGTAAACTCCAACATATGTACTAATGTAAAGTCATCTGTAAATTATGATTTAAATAAAAATGTACTAATTGTAAAAAAACCTTTGAATGTTCATGTACAGTATGCCACTTTTTGTGTGAAAAAATTATGATGCTTAATCTCTAGAGAGAAACCACCCCCCCCTAAAAAAACAATGATAAAACAAAAGCAGAACACAAAAACATACAAAAAGCATTTTGGAAACAGTTTTGAGTAGGTTGTTATAGAAAATTACTTTATTTATGAATAATCATTCATGTAATTAACAGGAAATAACAGTCACAAAAATAGAGATAAGTCAATTTGATCAATCCTGACAATTACAAGACGTTTCTCAAATATTAGAATACTTGGAACTCCTACTGGCAACTCATTAAACAACGATCAGTGCAGAGACTATCCCGCTAGTTTTACTGCACTAAGTTGGACATGAGCGTAGTAGGGCTGTCTGTTTTCGAAAAATGTAGTATTCGATTACTCAACACTGTGTTTAACCGAATATTCGGTTGCCAGCTGCAACTGCGTGCGGCGTCAGTCAAACGTTGCACACATAGTGCGCCAGTTAAAGTTTGCGTGCTGCGACCAATATGGGTCGCTTGAGTGTTTTGCCCGTCAAGGTCTTTAACCTGCTAAAAGGATGGGATTGACCAAAAAGTTACCGTTGACAAAAAAGTGGCACCTGACAACAAAGCACCCCAACTTTACGATAAAAATCACAGTTGTGTGTGTGTCTGTGTAGTTTTTGTTTTTGAATATTCACGCCGGCAAACATTTATTCAAGTATTCTATTGATGATCAAATATTCGAATACTAGGGTCAACCGTAGAGTGTAGTCAAGAGGATTCCGAGCAGTGACGACCCAGGGAGTTGAGGCATTTTCCCACTATCGACTTGCCTACCCATGTTAAAACAACATGGGCCCCACATAAGCACAACCAAATCCCATTGGACAAGGCATACCATTGACACATAAAGGGCCTAGTAATGTAATTTTTTATGCAATCCTTGGAAATGCACTTTTGTGTCCCATTAAACTTTATTTTTCAATTTTCGTTTTGCTATTTTTAAGGGCATTTTGGTGCCATTTTGGTTTGAGCAAAAGTGTGATGTCATTTCAGGCAGAAACCTCAATGTTACAGCTATTTCAGCATCAAAATTGTCACAATTTTGAAAATTTTGCTATCGTAATTTCCTTTTCTTTGGTGATTCGTTATTGTTTCAGTACATGACAGGCCAATGAGCAACTTTTCTCACAAATGTTTTCAACTTTTGGGTTCACAATTTGAACAGAAAACCCCTAAACTGAACAGTGTCTTCCTGAAATGAGATCACAGCAACAGCGCCCTCATTTGTCAAGAAAAGCATGGAAAATTTGAATGTTCAAAAAAGTGTGTCTTTCAATAAAAACTAATTCAAAAGGGATCTCAATAGTTGTCATACAGTTAACCAGTTCGCGCAGGTATTATTTTGACATTGACCGGACCCAGGAGCGGGATTGTTTTTCATGAACCTCGACGCCAGACGGGTTCAGGCCGTTATCTGCAGGCAGCACACCCTGATATTTTCAGCCTCGCTCGCTGCGAGCGGTCGCTGACAGATATTTCCAGCCTCGTTCGTTGCGTGTTTATCCATCATCCGTTCCGAATACCTCAAAACCTTTGCGTGTACATACACGTCGTCCGACGTGAACTGGTTGAGAGTAGTGCAAAGTTGCTCAAAATATGAGCCCAAGTAAATTCATTTCATGGTCTTTTAAAGTTGGTATGTTTTTGGCGGTAGATTTTTACCCAGGTACAGCCTCTCATACCCTGATCCCGACCAGGCTTGGATTTTACCCGTGTAGAGCAGGTGCCGGAAACGTGTAGAAGCCGTGTTGGACTCTAGCTAGTGTGAAAAGGGTTCCCCAAATCTCTGTTTTGGACCCATCGTCGCTCTCGCTGTAAACCTCTGGCTCTGACATATACAGCGCTATCTGACCTGACTCGTCTCTGTGCTCATCCTCGGAATATGATTCATCAGAAAAAATCACGATCAAGGTCGCTCTCTGAGACGTCTGACGATGAATCTGACGAACTAATTCACTCCGCCATGATTTTGACCCGGGACGTTTACCGTGTATATGGCTGTGTTTACGTGGTCGTTGGCGAGCAGCACGCGTGGTTACGTTCTGGCGATGACGTCATCACCGGGGATCCGGCCAGCGGCCAAAAAGGGTATTTTGGGGGGCGGGGGCACGCTTCATATTTTATTCTTTTCAGGGTCGCCATTTATGAGCAAAACATTAAAATTGTGAACTTTGTGAAATGGTTAAGTGTTTATAGACATCTTACAATGCCTTCCTCGATAAAAGTGTTTTAATTTCAGGTACCCTTTAAGGTGTAAGATGTAATGCCATTCTGTCCATACAAGGAGTATCAAAACAACAGGTGCAAGACCAAAAGCACCTGCAACGTAAGACATGCTTTCCCAATCTCGACTTTTTCTCCACCATCAGCTGCATACTTGTGGTAACAGGATTCAAATTCAGCACAGCCAATGACTGTCATAAATTGGGCCGTACAATCTCTGAGCTTTCAGACTCCTGCATATTCTCCAGTGAAAGATCTGTAAACAGAAAAAGAAAAACAGAAAGATTAACTGAAATTAAGTGAAATCGGATAACCGATTTCACTGGAAGTTCCCATCCAGCTCACAGTCACTCATGCCAACAAAAAGTGACGAGTGAGGTGCCACATGTAATGCCCTCCCAATGACTGGGTTTAGTTTGCAGGATTCAATGACCACTGCGCCTTGACAAAAAAAACTCCAGAACTGTGACGTTGAAAACAAAAACCTACATTCTTTAAGAATTTTAAAATGCCTTTTTTTCCTTTTCATTGATACATAAATTCTACCCCAAAATCTGAAACACGCACACACCAACATGACCTTCACAATGACTTCAATTATAAAAAATTGGATGCGTAGTATCCCCCCGCCCCCCAGTAGCAAATCTCGGGATGGGGGGAGGGAACACCCCCCCCCCCCCCCCCCCCCCCCCCCCCGCATTCAGCCGCTGGATGTTGTTGTGTAACTAGTCAAATGGGGCCAAAATAATAAACAGAATGCCAAAATTCCTACATTTATTCGTGAATTGCCTTAGAATGCAGGGAAAAGCATCATAGATTTCAAAATTTCCCAGGGGATGCTCCAGGACCTCCTAGCAGGGCGTGCCTTTGGCAAGCTCAAGACTCCACCCCCTCCCCCTTCAGTTTTCTGAAAGCTAGATCCGCCCCTGCCCCTCCTCGGATTCATCCTGTGGTTTCCTTACCTTCCTCATTGTACAAGACTTCTTTCAGATAAAGTCCATCTGGTGGGGCCGTGGGACTCGTCTTTGGGTGAGCGTTATCACAAGATTCTAAAACTGCTCTCACTTCCTCCAGTGATCGGCTGCCCTTGCCCACCGAAACCAGAGCAGAGACCATTCTGCGTATCTGGTGACGAAATAAGAAAGTCCGGTGACTAAACCACATAAATTGGGTAGGGGGGAGGGAGGTGGGAGGGGAAGCCACATCCCCATCAATTTTCATATAAAATCAATCAATTTTAATTCTTTTTTACATTTGTCTCTCTAATCCCCTTTTCTATTCACTGAAATAATAATAATAATAATAATCGGCATTTAAGAACACTCTTATTAGTTAACTAAATCACAGCGTTTACAGTATTATTATTACCCCTGATCATTGGGCCAATGAAACATTCCAAATACCATCTCAGCTCCCTGGGGAGTATACAGCTCGATGCTGCCTGTTAGGCACAAGCGAGCTTATTCAATCACCATAACCATCTCTGCCCTCACAGGTACCCATTTACTCCTGGGTGGAGAGAAGCAATGAGTGACAAAGTGCCTAGCTCAAGGGCACACGCACCATGACCCAGGCTGGACTCGAACCCATAACCCGCAGCTTTACCCACAGACCACGAATTCAGTGCCCTTAACCACGAGGCCACAGCACTCCACGAGTGGACTAGTGGTGGTAACACTATGTAGAAATCTCTTTCGGGAAGATGTGGGGTTCTCAAAAACTCAATGTTACGATCAGTATGCTCTGATCATCTTCCGCCTTCTTACTTTGTCTCATTTGATCTCTAGCAAACAAAAAAGGATTTACCACACAAACACGTGCACACAATACCTGTCTGTACACGAATGAGCGACTTCGAAAAGACACCTCCCAGAACTGGATGTGGGAGTGGCCGCGACTCCAGTGCCGGTCCAGGAGGCCGTGCGAGGGCGCTATTTCAATGCGGTCTATCGTTTTGATGGGCGATTTGAAGCTGTTCTCTTTGGATGCGCTGCGGAATGCTGAGAAATCGTGTGTGCCAAGGAAGAGTTTCGTTGCTTCTTTCATGGCTTCAATGTTCAGCCTGAATGAGTGTTTTAAAAAAATTATAAAAAGTTGAAGAAAAAAAACCATGTTCTTCAATAATACATTCAACAACGATTTTGTGCATCACATGTACTCGGATTGTATGGGCGAACTTTTGCTGCGTCATGTACAATTTTGAATTTGACAACCGTTATCGAGATTTTCCAAACCTCGGTCTTCATTCGGCACCGCCTGCTAACAGTGCTATTTGGGTGCCTAATTTTGAAGATTCCAGATCAACATTAGTCAATGTTATCTTACAGAAACATCAAACTGTATTATCATGACTGTATGATATTACGAAGCAAGTGATTTATTTCAAAATTTGATCAGAACATTAAAAGCTTAAAGTGATAAAGCGAAATCGAAACGAAGCCAAGCTTTGAAAAGGGCCATCAATGTCGTCATGTCGGGAATAATTATCAGGTCTGGGAACCAGACTATATGAAGGGAACCACAGCCGAATGCGGTCTTATACCAAGACTCCTCCTATTCAAGTCAAGTCATCTTTTTAATATCCCACGGGGGTAATTTAAAGGGAATGCACAACATTTGCTTTTGCTGCAATTTTCAGAAATAAATGGATTTAGAGGATTAGTATGTTATAGCAAATATTGTTACACTGACTTGTTTCACGTTTTGGATTTGTGGATGCTGGAAAAAAAACCCAAGAAAACCAATCATATTCTTGTAGTCTGGCTCCCTGACCCCACTTAAGATGAAACGGAGCAATTTATAGACTTTGGGAATTGTAAGACCAGGAATCAGTCTAGCAGGCTTGCAGTCTCATAGGTGTGTAATTAATTGCAAAGAAAATGCAGACGAACTAAATACAAAAAAATTAGGAGCACTTTTTGTCTTTTTTTTTGAAAAAAAATACAGTTTTTTCTTGAAAATGTTGGCACACCAGGAGCCACAACTTTTAATACAGGATGCTTTAGACTGTCATTCCCTAACAATCCAGTAAGATATTTCGTGATAATTTGATCATTTCGTTTTTTTTATGTTTGCAAATGTTGTATCTTCCCTTTAAAACGCTTGCATACAATAAAAACATTGAAACATTCCAGACACTCACTCACTCTTAATAGCCCAGCATCTGTCCTTCTCCGTTACTGGCAAGGAGCGGTAGGTGCAACCGACTGCTATCCTGTACAAGTAACTTCTGGAGATTGCGTTGTGCTGGGCGTGGAATTTGTCAGGGACCCTCCTGGCTCCGATAACCCTGGATGACAGAATAAGGATCGGGAAATTATCTCGGCCATTAAATCACAGGAATCATTGACTAAGTAGGAGGGGGTTGCAATCTTTTAGCCAGAGAGGAATACAGGGTATTTGGACACCCTACAGGCTATTTTGTACCCACCATTTTGTACTAAAATGCACAAAAAATACCTAATTTTCAAATCCTTATGACTAAAGTCTTATGATCTGGAGTGCTGTGGACTCGTGGTTAAGGGCACTGGATTCGTGGTCTGTGGGTAAAGCTGCGGGTTGTGGGTTCAAGTCCTAGCGGGGTCATGGTGCATGTGCCCTTGGGCAAGGCACTTTGTCACTCATTGCTTCTCTCCACCCAGGAGTAAATGGGTACCTGTGAGGGCAGAGATGGTTATGTGATTGATTTAGCTTGCTTGCGCCTAACAGGCAGCATCGAGCTGTATACTCCCCAGGGAGCTGAGATGGTATTTGGAATGTTTAATTGACCCAATGATCAGGGTAATAATAATACTGTAAGTGCTGAGATTTAGTTTACTAATAAGAGAGTTCTTAAATGCCGATTATTGGCTTTTTCGCAATTTTGCGAAAAAGCCTTTCTTTCTGTTCTCATTTTTTTTGTATCTTCTTCTTCTTCTTCTTCTTTTTGTCGCCTAAATCCCATTGACTTTGTACACGTTTTTTCTCAGTGCCACTTTTGGTATTAATCTTCGTCTTACATCATTCAAATTAAGCATAGTCATAGTCCTTATAGCAGAGATGTGCCCCGAAGAGTGACGTCATGGTGACGTCATTGACTAATTTATTATAGATTTTTGAATATTTAATTTTTCCCATAGACTTTGTACACAAAAATTAAGAAAAAATTGTCGATTTTCAAAGGGCATTTTCGACTCTTTGCCAGTAATTCATTTACACCAATCTTTGTCCAAGCAAAGACCCTAATTCAAACAACATTGTGGAATGATGACGTCATGATGACGTCATCCAGTGTTTATTTATAGGCAATTAAATTGTGACACTTTTAATATTTAAAAATGCATAAGAAATCAACCGTCCGCGTCCGCAGCATTCTGTTGCCGCAAGTGGTAGAGTAGGTTGAGGTCTTTATTTCATTCAGTGTGCGTGCAATCACGTGACCCTTGCTTCCGGTCGAAAAAGGCCCAAACCGGAAGTGGCTTATTATTTAAAAGTGGTAATAGAAATGAACTTGCTTTTAACGGTGTTAGTCTCTTGGCTAAAAGTATTCTTCAAATCATCTACCAATGACGTCATGCAATCTTCGAGCGCCCTCTAGCGACAGGTTGAAAATTAGCAAAAATGTATTTTGAATAGATGTCTGTGGCGAAGTTTGTCGGAATCGCCTAAATATTGGTGTATATAATGACCTTGACCCACTTAAGACGTGTGCGAAGTTTTAGGCAAATGACGTCATCAGACCGGAAGTTATAATAAAAAGACCCTTTTTCATTTGAAAATTCCTGAAAAATCAACCATGGCAGTTTTTATGTTAGTTTTTACTTTAATTGTCGATTTAAGGGTAGGTCTAAAACATATCAAAGCTTCGAGGCAATAAGTGAACTCGGACATGCCCTGCGCACGCTTAAAACTTCAGGTTGACAATACCTCATACACGTACGTTACGCACATACTGTACATCGTATGTCAGTCAGCCTGCAGAGCACGTGTTGACGACGTCAAATCCTGTCCACATCACAGTGACCGTTTTAGCCGATTTTCGGCTAACCTTGACAGATTTTATGTTCATGCATACGCATAGTCAGGGGCGTATAATAAAAAATCATAATGCCGAAAAGCCCTATGTTACGTATTTAAAGGTGCAGTTTTTCTGCAGTGGGATTTTCCACAAGTCTTTTCCTACACAACACTGATATCTTACTGAGTAGTTCTGAACCTCAGCCGAGAATTACTATGAAAAGGAAAGAGAAATCGTATTTTTTTCGGTCTGTCATTCGATTGAACATATTCCTAAGGGTCAGAATATCAAGTAATATTTCATAAAAATGTTTCAGTTCAAAGGCAAATTACAAATTAAAGGTGCAATTTTCTGCAGTGGGATTTTGTTTAGCCCGTTAACTTTGTACACGTGTTAGCCCATTGACTTTGTACACGTTTTCAAGCCACCATTTCTATAACTTGGCGATCTGGAATCGTCATCAATGTAACAGCCAAGGAAGACCCTCATACAAAAATTATGCCAAGACTATGACGTCATGATGACGTCATCACCCAATTTTGTTTATTGATTTTTGAAAATTTACGTACATATTATGTTGTCCTATATCTACAGAACTGTAAGCCTGATTGGGTTGAAACTTGGTATGTGGCTAGACCGGGATGTGTTATAGGTAAAAAAACCAATTAGGTGACGCCATGATGACGTCATCCGGAGATTTTATATGAATATTTGAGGTTTTTGACCTTTTAGCCATATCTCATGAACGTAACATGCAAAATTAAAAATTCTTTGTGTATTTGGTCTGTTAGGTAAAAGGTATTTGCACAACATTTTGAACAAAATATCTGACATCATTATGACGTCATAAAAATGCGATTTTCAAAATACACATATAAGGAAAGGTCCGACTGTCATGAAACTTAATGGGTAGGTAAATAATGGTACTAGTATACAAAGTTTAAAGTGACGTCACGATGACGTCATCGTTTGGTTTTTATAATTTTAAGATATTTTAAATTTTATTGTGCTTCCACAAATTGCACACTTTCTTTCACCGGATTGACATTAAACTTGGTTCAAACCAAAATCACAATGACAAAATGTGCATTGAGAAGGGTCTTAAGGATGACGTCATTGCAGGGCAAGTGACATCATTTGATAAAATTATACTTTAGGAATTATTCTAAGCGTTTTGAACAACCTTTAACTGCATAAAGCACTCTGAAAAGTGACTGCAAAAGGACAAACGAAACAAATATTTGTAAAATGCGAAAAAGCCCTGTGTTCTGTTTGCAAACAGACATACAGCTCTAGTTATTATTATTATTATTAAAGCCACAGGGAGTCCACAATATTTTTAAAGATGCGGCATCAGTGCACTGAAAATTAAAAAACACAAATAAGACATTGAAGACAACAATGTAGCTCAACTCATTAGCGCTGCTAATGTCCAAGTAAAACAATGACTATCCAGAATATTGCTGCGACGACGCTATAGCTGGGTTGCGATAAAGCTAATTGAGTCATGCTTTTCAGGAAAGGCTCAAATTTATTGTCTTGCCACTACATGTATTTGTGATGCGATCAAGCTAAAATGAGTTGTTTGTCGACCCTGATCAATTTGTATTTGTTTTCAGATTTGAAAAGATCACAATCTTAGCATTACTGCTGTGAAAACCGCATGCTGGTACCATACTTATTATAAAAATTATGGAAGTGAAACACCAAGAGATAGGATGAAGTGATGTGATGAAGTGGCCTTATTTTGGCCTATATCTCACAATGAAAGTTCCCCGAAAAACGACTTAGCTTGATCGCATCACATTTGATGAGAGCAAGACAGTGAGCAAATTTGCATTTCCCAAGAGATGATGGCTCCCCATACCTGACTTGCTCGCGTCTTGGAATGAAGGAGTTGAGACCGAGACACAGGCTCTCGTCCCTGAACGCTTCCGGTTTATTTGGCGGACGTACCAGATCAAAATGGGCCGTGTTGCACAAGGCGTGCACCCCTGAATCAGTGCGGCTTGAAACGTAGATTTTGGTCGACCGATACGGGTTGAGCTTCTCTAATACATTCTGGGTAAAAAAGGAAGCCATTTTAGTTGCCACTGTGATCACATGACCTCCTCCAAGAAGAGAAGGCGCAACGTTACGCTTTCATTTAAAATAAAATTTCAACGAAATGGGTGAAGAACCAGAGACAAACACTGTGTATCTTAAAAAGGCCAAACCAGGAATATTAAAGCTTCAGGTTGGCTGTGTGTTACATCTTACTCTTTTTAACAGAGAGAGAGCAAAAAGCAGAACATTTAGGGGTCATATTTGTAGAAGAAAATATAACAGCTTCAAATAAAGTGTCTCTGCATTGCCTATTAATATAAACTGTAACATTCCCAAATCGTCCAAAATCCTCTTTGCAAAATGGAGGATTTTGCAGAATCGAGGCTATATGGCAAAAATGGGGCTGATTTTGGAGGAGGCACTATGTCAAGGTCTTGGGCTGGACCTTGTGTTGGTTATGCTCAGCCGTGCAAAAATTTAGGCCTATATTATACTTGAAATCCTCTGCACTGCTCCAGGATGTCACTGGCTCTGCCTCAACATATTGACAGGGATTGCTGGAGGATTTTGCACTCCGACATCCGCGCCATAATGGGGAGGGGGGGGGGGGGGGGGGCAACCATCTTCCACATGGGGGCGCTCTTCGAAACTGACTTTTATGCATACTGAAAATTATATGCAAATTTTCACCACGCATTGTATTGGTTGTGGAGCTTGTTGTTTTGATTTTCATGTCAGAACTCTCTAACCATTTATGGAAATAGTTACAAAAAAAATATCTCACAAACAAATCCGACAGTCCCCCCCCCCCCCCCCCCCCCCCCCCCGGATACGCCACCGGAATGAAAACTATACTGAACTACAGGTACTTGCTAACTAAGCAAAAAGTTATACCTCAATGACATCCTGTACACCAATCTTCCCACTCCGAGCTATGGCATTTTTGGAGGCTTTCACAACACCACTGTGAAAAAGAACAAAAAAAAGATGAAAAAAAACCACTCAAATCACAATTTCTATCACAATCTCCCAGAGTACTTATCTTTTGTAACTTTTTTGGTCGGTTACCTGGTTTCTAATACCAGGGAAACAGCATTATGGCTATTGCTTGATTTTTAGTTTAGCAGTGGCTATCAATACGGCAGTCGACCGTCTGGTTCCCTGACCCGATATTAACGTCAGGATCTTTGGCCCTTGGAACCAGACTGTCCACTGAATGGTTCTGGGGCTAGTATATTTCCCTCAAAAACAAAATCCTCCAAAAGCCATGACTTACTGATGAAAAAGATGAAATCTACTTCAATAAAAGGGATGATTTGATTTAAAACCTAAAAGTAAAGAAAACTATTGTTAAAAGAACAGGGAAAAAAGAAAATTCTAACAGTAACAGTGAAGATTTGATCCCAGGAACTTCGCTATGGTAACTAATGTTAGTTCAACAGTTTCCAATTAAGCTACCAAAGCACATTGGTTGGAAGGGCTGTTAATAAACAGATATAATTGTGATAGATTTGCAATACCAATGGCATGCCATATTAAACGATAGCAGTAGCACTTGAAAATTACATAACACTAACAGCTGCCAAATGATTAACCCTAACTCCCTAGGCCCTTTTGCTAGGATGTAGCCTCAATCCTGCAAAATCCTCCAACTGGCCTCATGGAAAAATAGCATACAGCCTCAATCCTGCAAATTCCTCCGTTATTTCTTGAATATGGTCCATGGAGGGGTGACCACTGCCTCAATCCTGCAAAATCCTCCGGCTATGACTGTCAATAGGCTTATGCAGAGGCAGTGACATCCTTGAGCAGTGCGGAGGATTTCAAGTATAATCAAGAACTAAATTTATGCACGGCTGAGCATAAACAACACAAGGTTCGGCCCAAGACCTTGACACAGTGCATACTCCGAAATCAGCAACGCACTTTTGCCATGTAACCTCAATCCTGCAAATTCCTCCAATTTGCAAAAAGGATTTTGGAGGATTCAGGGCGGTTAGGGTTAAGGCAGTGGACATTTAGCCGGAGAAGGCAAACCTTTAGTAAACGTTAGCTTGCCGGATATCTTTCATATGGACTGAACATGTGCAGTTACTGTTTTTTTTACTTAGACATTTTCCGGTCACAAATTTTAGTCAGGCTCCATGCTTTCTAGTGCAGATGTCTTACCACTCGACCACCGAGCTAACGGGATCGATTGGCCAAAAGCTTTCGAGTCAACTCGTACCTTGGGCGACTCGTACCTTGGACAACTCGTACCTTGGACAACTCGTACCTTGGACATCTCGTACCTTGGATAACTCGTACCTTGGACAACTCGTACCTTCAATTAAGACGACTCGTACCATCAGAATAAAAAGTAGAGTACTGTACGTGCGCGACTTAGTGTGTGGGTTCCTTGACTCCGAAACGATACGATTCTTTTCAAGTCAAAGTTAATTTCCTTCTCACAGAACCACATTCAAGATCTAATGGCTTTGCCAGGCAGCATTATTTTACGCATTGGGCCTGGCGGGCCGGCCTCCGAGGGCGCGAGCAGCGGTCGGTCGTGCGCGGTACCGATGCCGGTGACTGCATCAATGTCACCGTGCACAGACGTCCATATTGACCGGTCAGCGCGGCGCAAGAACCGTGTCACTTTGCACGGATGCCGCGTGGGCCTGTGCATGCCGCGCACACAGTGCGTGTTAGCCCCATAATGTGGCCAGTTTACTGGACTGCCTCCGTAAACATAGGCCACACGTCCACCATCTTGGAATCTGACTCGCCGAAATTTGAAAGTGATTTCCACATTGCGACTTCAAACCCAGTTCATTTATGCTTTAAAAATACACTCACCCTCTTAATAACAAAATTAGAACCTGCTGCCAGTGTCAGTTGCCCAGCTGCTGCGTAATTTACGACATTTTCTGGATCCTTCTTGGCAACTTGGTCCAACCATGGAGCTATCTCCATGGTCCAACTGAACAATGCCCTCGCGCAGATCGTTCACCTGTCAATCACGCGTGCAGGACGCACGCCGCAGGCCCAGTGGTAGTCCGGTTCCCAGACCAAAAGATTCTGACTATTCCTGATAGTCAGAATCTTGCACGCATGATTGACTCGGATCATTATCCAGATTGACGGTACGACTTGTCTTACGCGTGATGGTACGAGTCGTCTTAACTGAAGGTACGACTTGCCGAAGGTACGAGTTGTCCAAGGTACGACTCGGTATAATGACGTCGAGTTGAAGGTACGAGTTGTCCAAGGTACGAGTTGTCCAAGGTACGAGTTGCCCAAGGTACGAGATGACCTGTTACCGGCCAAAAAATATGTTTCATATAATTTTCACGAAATAGATGCAACATTGCGCATATTAGATTATGATGGGACAAGCAGTCTAACGTGTTAAGTTTAAATAGATTACTGAATAATGTCGTAAGATTACTGACCAATAATTTGTGCCAAAGTACTGGAAGTGAATTAAGTATCTGACCATCCTTGTACAAATTTGTAGTTCTTTTCTTGGATTTAAGAGCTAGCAGTAGCAAAGTAGCAGACGAAATTCCCATTCACAGTGCACAGTGATCGTCATGCCCGCCCTCTTGCGATTCCGCAGTCTCCGGTGTCATTTTGTCGGTGTTCTCCGGTATTTGTCGGTGTTTTCCGGCGAAACTCTTGGTGGCGCTTTCAAGTACACATCGGTGTAAAGGAAAATCCATCATCATGTCCATACTTGTGTGTGCAGATCGTAACTGAAGACCGGTGATTTGTCGCTTTATTAACTGTCAATCATTCCTCTTCTTAACCACAAAGGATTTTGAGTAGCCATGGACTACATTAAATCAATACCAACTCACATGGTAAGATTCTCATTACAATTTTAAAAGATTCGTAAAATCGTAGGAAAGATTCCCCTCTGCCATCTGGCATGTCTGGAATCTATCTGGCCAGCATTTTTCACCCTGTGATCATTTAGGACAATGACATGTATGAAACTGGTCTGAAAATTTCTAAGTAGGCTTAAGTGTTTTCTCAGTAAATACCTAAACATTTGGCGATCGTGTAGTGTAGGGCCCCTGTTTTGTTTTGATCAAATTAGAGTCAAAAATAAAAAAAGGAAGTGGATATTTTGCCAGAGGTAACGCCGGCCAACTAACGAAAGGTTTGCCGGCGGCAATCCATATCAACAGAGGGCGCTGTACTCTTTAACGCAACTCGGTGGCTATCTCTGTGGCAGTCAGCCGTCTGGTTTCCTGACCTGACGGTATTCAACATCAGGATCATTGGCTCTAGGGAACCAGAATTTCAACTAATTGATTCTCTGACTTTATTTTCACTAAACAAAAAAAACAATTCTCAAAAGTTAGGATCACATAAAAAACCCACCAAAATCTACTTCAATAAAAAGTAGGATTTGGAAGCGCCAAAGTTTTCCATTGACGATGCGTACACAGTACACGGTACACAGTGCCGTAACGATAGTTGAAACTTTTATTACGGCTGCTGTAACAACCATGACGAATTTCAGTGCAAAACATACCAACTTAATGTAGGGCTTCCCCTTATTTAACCACTGTCAATGTTGCTCAAATACTTGACATTTTTTTACCCAGTCTGTGATCTGTGTTTTTCATTAAGTTCATCCTTAAATTATGGTTGTTTATTTTTCACCTTGTTCTGCTCTAGGATTACAACGGCCAAAAGCTTGCCGAGCAGCTGTTCCAAGGAATCATCCTTCTCTTTGCTGTGAGTTTGCTTGTAAAAAATTGTAATCATGTTATAAACCATCCGAGCGTGGGACCACTGCCATATATTTCTTTATAATGGTCAGCATCAGACAGGGCTCTGGAGTGCTCTGAAACGTGCACAACTAAATCAGGCCCACTTTACTCACAGATTAGTCAGCAAATTTCTCTAAAAATTCCACTGGGGTAAAGAAAATGTCCTCAGTATTTCACCAACCAAGTTTGCAGACTCAATTCAATTTTTAAAGGAGACTTTTCTTCAATATTTTGCACATGAGAGGGAAGTCAAGTGATTTCAAAATAGGGCTAAAGACTAGACTGGTACATGTCCAACCATGGTCCAACTATTTGGAAAGACCGACCTCTTCATAAGTGTCAATAGTCTGGTGGCTTTACTATGGAGAAATGTGTAGTAAATTGAGACTAGTTCCCGCTTCATGCCACATGTTTCTTAAATTCTTTTGGCACGGTTGATTGATGCAGTGCTGAAGCTGTGTTGGACTGGTTGTTTTAGGTGCCAGTCTATTTTCTTGTTTGCATGTTTTCCATACCTTAAAGTTTTGGGACTCTCATACACAGTATTGAGAGTCCAAAATTTTTGAACTAGGTCAGCATGGCAACTCAGGATTTTAGTCCCGACATGCTCAAGTTTCATCTGAATGTGCACAAACCCGTTATGCTTTCGCAGAGCAAAAGACCCCTTGTACAGAGCGCCATCATGGAGAGCAGTCTTTGTAAATTCAACTCGGTGAAAATGAAAGTGCTAAGGCCAAAAAAAAGGTCTTCGGTTTCTGATATGGAGCTTACCCCAAAAGTGGTGCGGCAACGCAGATTTTTTTCCTTTTCCTCGTTTTTCTTCTTCAAATGTCAGCTGATGACTGCATAATGGTTCCCCGACTAAATTTAGTGCAAAATATATGGGAGCCAAGAGAGGCCACATAAAGCTTATTCTCGATCGTAACCTCATCTAAAAACACGTTAAAATTGTGCAGCAGCAGGATTCCAGTCAAACCAGTGAGTTTAGCGGTATTGAGACATCTTACATTGAAAAAAAAAAAACTTTCTAATTTTGCCCACGTGCATGGCTACGGCGACGTGCACGCATACCAGAAACCGGAGACTTTTTTTTTGGCCCAAGTGTCTAGTTGTCGCAGAGGAACAAAGACCCTTTTTTTGGTGTGTGGTTTGGGATTAGCTTGATTAAACTTGCCTTGTTTTTTTCATTAAAAAAAATGGGATAACTGTGGTTTTCCTGTGTGTAGGTTGTTGGGTTCATCTGGGGTTATGTCTGCGAGCAGTTTGTCCAGACCATCTACATTCTCGGAGCCGGGTTCGTCCTGTCGTGCATAGTAAGTATCGAGATGTTCATTGGTTGGATCAGGTATGAAGATATTGAGGGGGACTTTCTCTTTCTCTTTCCCAGGTTCGATTCCCGCCTGTGCCAACATGTGGATTCAGTTTTCAGTCCCTACCTGATTTTATAGGGTTTCCCCTGGAATGCCATTCAGGGGTTTTCCTCCCAAACAATAAAACTGTAATTTCCTTCCGTATCGTCTTTTAACAAGGAACCCCAGCTATCAATACGGAAAGAATGTTGCAGCCTGACGCTACTTCAGTGGTTGTCTATGGAGAGTCAATAAAATGCCAATAAATTATTTTCAAACAAAATTGGAAATGTTTCTCATTCCCAGATTCATGTCATCATTATTTTTGCAATGACTGACCTTCATTGAGATGATAATATGAAGAAAAAAATCAGCGTCAGGTTGCAACATTCTTTCCGTCAATATGTTGGCAGACATTCCATGGGCTGTCTGGCCAATTGCCAAATACATGTAACAATAAATAAAAGATTGTCACAAGTAGCAGAAGACAGTGCACTGCCATTGTCACAGTCTGTTTGAATACTAAGCTTGTGTCTCCAATTTTTGTGTGCAGTTGACGCTACCCCCTTGGCCGATCTACCGCCGGAGCCCCATCCAGTGGCAGAAACCTCGCGAGGAGGCCGACACGGAAACCAAGGAAGTTGCTCCAGCGAAGGAGAAGAAATCCTCTAGGAGGAAGGAAAAGACCAAGTGATCCAATACTCTCCATCTATCTCTCTTGTTAAACCCCACCCCTATGGACCCTTACCTAAGCAACCCCTCCAAAACACAAAAACACAGAAAGAAAATGCTCTATGTGTGCTGCATGCGCACATAGAGCAGCAATCGCTTTTGTTGGCAAAATCATTGTCCTGTTGGCTGTATGAGGGGGATGATATTCACACCCGGTCTCGGACCAACACTAAATCTCCCATGAGGCCTTTTCACACTAGAGCCTCTCAACCCGGGTTAAACTCGACCCTGGGCAAACCCAGTGCTGCCCCGGGTTGAGTTTTTGATTTTTCAACCCGCCTTCAATCCTGCATCGTTTCATGTTTGGTTCTTGCAAACCAAGCTTGTTTCTCGCGGTTGCCACTGTTTTGAACCTTGGCGAGAGTTTCAACCCGGGTTGAAAATCTCCTCCAGGGTTAAAAATCTCAAAGGTCCTAAATTCATACAATGGCTTAGCACTGATAGCCTTGCTTTCTTTTAATGCTGTTTTGAAATATGTCTATTTCTATAATTATTTGAAGCTAGTGAATTGTTCATTGTGATTGCAAAGTTGTTAACGTAAACAGTTAACCACATGATATCTCATAATATTCGGTGCCCTCTATGCCTCAGACAAACCATTCATATTATAATTACTGACGAAGAAATGATATTATAATTGGTATTCATTCCAATACAACATTAAATAGTACACGTGTACTTTTTTTCAATAATGAAAAACTTTGAAGTAAATTATTTGATATTAGAAACCGAGTATACAGTGAATGCACAGTAAGTATACAGTGTTAAGAAGACATGTCGGTGAAGGGCAAAAATCAATATTCATAAATACCTACTAAGACAGTTTACCCATTCCTATTGGTCGAGAGCCCGGCATGTGGCCGGTCTTAAACGGATGATAAAGACATGGCTGGCTGGTCTTAAACACTTTTCCAGTGTCTCATGAAATTTGGACTCCTAAAAATCCAGTGCCTCTTACCGTTTTATTGGTTGAACGTTCACAATCCTCACGTAGGCATGCCCAACACTACCAGTGAGTCAGTATTTTATAGTCCTAAATTCTCAACGCAATGCCCTACGTGTATCTCCATAACAGGAGTGTTTACATCTTATTCGAGCTGGACACTCCATTATTTAGCTAGAGGGGTGTTTCAAAAAACATGAAGTGAACTTCTTGAACAAAATCTGGGGTTTTTTTTACCGAATACTTTTGATTTTTTTGACCAAAAAGGTATTGATGAATGGGAATAAATATATGCTTGGTCGGTATTAATCACTCTGTTTAAGACCGCTTTAGAGTCTGGGTGCTGATAATTACCCGAGCCGAATCATCACCCAGACTACAAGCGGTATTAAACGGTGATTAAAACCTCCAAAGCACACATTAGTTCACTGATTGAATTTACATAATACATATACACCACCTCGACGCAAAATTCGATCTTATGAATATATTTTACATAAAAGGAGACACTGGGCATTAGGCCAAAAAAAAAATACTTGGTCTCTGGTCAGACCAAAGTTCCGGAATTGATGGGGCGACGTGGCTTTTTTGGGGTTTTTTGCTTTTTTTTTTTTTTTTCAAGCTTGGATTGTACAGACAAGGCGGGGTACTATTTTGCTTTTTTTGGTGTCCTCATGTATATAGACCGCTTGCAGACGCGTTCGATAATCGATGCGCGAAGGCGCGCGACGCCATGTTGTGGGACAAGCGCATATCTATCCATGCACAGTTTGTCCCACAACATGGCGTCGCACACCTTCGCGCGTCAATTATCGAACGCGTCTGCAAGTGGTCTATTGGTGTCCTCCATAATTTGCCTTTGTGCCCTCGATCATTTGCCTTGGTGCAATTTCCCATTCCTTGGTGCTCTTTGGTAAAACAAATTTGAGGTGTGGCAATAGATGGCGCTGTTGGAGCTACCGCGGAACATTTTGGGAAAAAAAAAAAGATTGACGCGCATGATTAAAGTCGACGCGCGCGCTGACCAGAGACCGACTATTTTTTTTTTTGGCCTTAGGGAGACATTTTAGTGTCTCCCTAATGCTTTAACTACCATTTAGAAGACATGATACAATTGCAGAATGCTTAAAACAATGTCCAAGTTTGAGAATAGTATAATAATGTTTAGGGATGAGGAAGTATTTACAAATCGGGTTACAGGAAGCATTTGTTGGTTTTTATTTGTACAACAGTCGATACGAATGTAAAGGTACCATTCTCGATAATAATTTTCATTACGTCAGGCATTGAATGTTTAATTTATTTGGACTTTCTGGAGAACCATGGCGACAATAAACATATTTATGTCCAACTCAGCTCTGTGTTGGTATTGGAGTTTGGTCTGTTAACACTTGACCCTGGAGGGTCGGTAGTCAGAAAAACAAAGAGGATCCCAGCTCTGTGTTTCTACGGACATGTGCATGAAGTTGGGTCCCAAAATCTGTTATGGTGCAGTGGATGGAGTGGATCATTTTTCACAATGGCCGTGCGGGAAAGAATTCCATACCTGGACATCACTTGACACCATGTGCACAAACCCTATGAGACTGGTCTGAAAAATTCTAAATGTTTTCTCAGTAAATAAATGCTTCAATATGTTCCCTGCTAAATTTGACGGACAAAATGTTGCAACCTGACGCCACTTCCGCGATTGTGTACAAAGTCTATGGAGAGTCAAGAAAAGTATTCCCTAACAAAATTGGAAATATTTCTCAGTTCCAGATTCATGTCTCATCATCATTTCTGCAGTGACTGCCCTTCATTGAGATGATATATGAAGAAAAAAGCAGCGTCGGGTTGCAACATTCTGTCCGGAGTTTGGTCTGTTCGGTCTGTTTAATAACACTTGAGCCATGATGAGGTTAAGAAAAACAAAGAGGATCCCAGCCCTGTGTTTCTGTCCATGAAATTGGGTCCCAAAATCTGTTGTGGTGGATGGAGTGGACGGAGAGATTATTTTTCATAATGGCCCATTATTTCCAGGAAAGATTCCCATATCTGGACATCACCTGTCACCCTGTGCACAAACCCTATGGGACTGGTCTGAAAATTTGTCCGGTTTCTCAGAAAAAAAATACAAAATTTGGCCCTGCAAATTTTGACTTTTTAGGACACATTATCACTTTCTGATGGCTGATAGGTCATTTAAGGGAAAAAAATTACTGATGGCCAGATATGGGAATCTTTCCATTTCCATACCTAGTACCTGGACATCACTTGCCACCCTGTGCACAAACCCTATTAGCCCCATAAATGTGGCCTATTTACTGGACTGCCTCCGTAGCCCCATAAATGTGGCCTATTTACTGGACTGCCTCTGTAAACATAGGCCACACATCCACATGTACAAAAACGTGTCGCTTTTGCCAAATTTTGATTTTCACATTTAGGCTTAGTTTGAAGGATTTTTTTGCTTTAGAAGCATACTCACCCTCTTTATAGGCTAATCAGAAAGTGCTGCCTTTTTCAGATGTCTAATTTTTGTGAAATTTCATGTTGAAATTTTGATACGCAAACGTGTAAAAATGAATCTGGAAATTTCACGAAAAATATACATCTGAAAAAGGCAGCACTTTCAGTATAAAGAGGGTGAGTATGCTTCTAAAGCCAAAAAACCCTTCAAACTAAGCCTTAATGTCAAAATCAAAATTTGGCAAAAGCGACACGTTTTTGTACATGTGGATGTGTGGCCTATGTTTACGGAGGCAGTCCAGTAAATAGGCCACATTTATGGGGCTAAAAGAACCCTATGACTCATGAGACTGGTCTGAAATTTTGTTAAGTGTTTTCTCAGTAAATGCTTCAATATTTACCCTGCTAAATTTGACTTTTTTTTAGGACATGCTATCGCTTTCTGATGGCTGATAGGTCACTGCAGGGGAAATCAATGATGTCCATGTACGGAATGCTTTCCGCGGTGCGCTTCAGAACTTCTTCTCCGAGGGAAAATCACCTCAAATTCATGGGAGTGGGACCTTGAGTACAGAAAAACATGCAAAACAAGATCAGTCAAACATGTCAAACTTTACTCACCCAGTTTTAGTTGACAAAATGCTCTAAAATCTTCATGAAGCACAAGATCCTCAGTATTTCACTGGCCACGTTTGAGGTCTCAATTCAAAATTTGATGGTGACTTTTCTAGTTTTCTTCGACAATTTGCACTTGAGAGTGAAGCCAAGTCAAGTGATTTCAATTTGAAGCTAAATACTAGACTGGTGCATGTCCACCTCTTTGCAAAGATCGACCATTCATAGTAGTCTGGTGACATGACCATAGAAAATGTGTACAAACAGAGCTGGGAGGTACATATGTCAATCTAACATGCAATGTACATGTAGTGCTAAATTCTATTTTAGTTATAGTTTGATTAAATGACACTGATTTTAAAGTCGAATTCAATGTAAGGCTTCTTCCAACAATGTAAATATTATACATGCTCAATCTCTGCTTTTCTCCCAAAGATGGGAGAAAAATGGAAATGCAAATACATTATTATACATTTATCCCAACTTAATAAAAAACTTTTAAAGAGCAAGATTATTTGAAAATGAAGTAAATTTTGCAAAAACTTGAAAAAAAAACCAAAAATTGGCTACAGTAGCCAGGTATTGCCTCAGGTTACACCACAGAGCACCTAGAATCCAACATTTCCCGGAACCAAAATACACGTTTAAGTCGACATCGTTACCGATGCCCACAAAGCGCCGGTTGATATCGGCACCAATTAAGTCTTTACATTGAGCCACATACTTCAAGTTTCATCTGAGATGTTCCAGAGAACGCCTCCTCTGGCTATATACCCCACTATCAGCATCAGTCATCCGCGTCAGACTCTAGGACTTTCCTAGCTGCATCGTCCTTTCTGACGTGTTCCCGTTCTTCGCGGAGTGAGTCCATGTTGCCGCTTATCCAGCCGGTTTTCTCCTCGCACGCAACGCCTTTCTGGAAGGACTCCATCGCTTCCTGATGCTGGCCGTTCAGGCACAGGATCTGTCCACGTACGTGGTGAAGCCCAGATCTCTTTTTGCCGTCCTGGCATCCCTTGCACCTCGTACAGGTCTCGAGAGCCTTCCTGATGTACTTTTTAGCTTGTTTCCCTGCGGTGCGTTTCGCCAGGTGATAATATACTTCCGCCAGCCATTCCAAATCCCATGGTGATTCGTGCTTTGGCAAGATGAACTCCAGGTCTCTCCGAGCTTTCGATAGGAGACGTAGCTCATTGGTGCGTCTGTATTGTTTGATGCACAGTGAGGCCCTCGAAGAGTAGGCAAGGAAGTTGAACTTGGAGGGGTCTAGAGCGATGGATTCATTTAAGAGCTCCATGGCTTCCTCGAACGACCCACCGCAATCAGGTCGTTGACGCATCTGAGCAAGACGAACGAGGATCTTGGCCGTCAAGGCGTCATCCGGAGACAAATCTCGCGCCTTCCGCAGACACTTCTCCGGGCGGGCGATGTATTTCACCAGGCTCTTGGGTATGTACTCTTGAGGTATTACAAAGAGTCTTGAAGCTTTTTCGAAGGCGACGGCAACGTGCATCAGTGCTTTGCACTTGATTGCGTTATCTGCAGATGGGCTGTCCACAATAGCCCCAAATCTCTCAGCTAGGCCTCGCAACGCCTCTTTAGCACACCCCTCGTTTCTCTTGATGACCATCATTTCCAAGATTTTAAAACTGGCGAGTCCGGAACTAAACAACCACTCATGCCTCGTGGCTCGATCCACCAAACTACCGGCCAATGTGAACGCTTCTTTGTACAATCGGGCAGCCCAATTATACCATTCATATTGCTGGTCTTTGACCGTGCCATGGTAGAGTTGGATGTAGGGATAGGCTTGCTCCGCATAGCACCTCGCCTGTTGTATCTTTCCCGCTCTCGTCGATAAATCAGGCACTGAATTCTCCTTTTCTGAACTGGACCGCCCTTTCACGTGATTGATGTTGGCCAAGGCATTCAAATTCTTTGGGTCTTCATCCAGTGCCATCTTGAAATACTTCAGCGCTTCCTCTTCGTCTCCCTCCGTGAAAGCCAACACGCCCAGAAGGTTACAGTTGGCGCAATAGTTTGTCCTCCGCTCCAAGTGATGTTCAAAAAGCTCACGTTTATAGCCCGCATTGGCTTTCACGATCTTATCAGTGGCAATTGGCAACGGCAGGTTAAAGTGCCCCGCGGGTGGTAATTGCTCCTCATTCGATGCCCTAGAGGAACATGAATAGAAGAACATGGCATAATTCATGAAAACACAGCAGTATGTTCTGAAATAAATTTATCCCAGAAAAATCTACTGAAGCATCGAAACCCGATCTATCGAGATTATCGCACAGATATCCCCCAAAAGAAATCCATCTGCGGGTATAAAAATATGCATACTCTAAACCAGTTTTATAGACACATTGTGGTACATGTATGAGTCGTGCCCCAGTCTGTGACAACCAAACTGAATTTGTGTTCCTACAATGTATAAAAAAAAACGCATTGAGAGCAGAAAATGGAAATCCTTGATGACGTTTAGAATAATGATTTTTTTAAGAATATAATTCATGTCGGGTGTCGGACGCTTCGCCCCATTTCCACTTCGCCCCATATCACTTCGCCCCATCCCCCCTTCGCCCCATCCCCGCTTCGCCCCATCCCCGCTTCGCCCCATCCCCACTTCGCCCATCCCCCCTTCGCCCCATCCCCGCTTCGCCCCATCCCCACTTCGCCCCATCCCCACTTCGCCCCATGTAGTATATGAAAAAGGTGAAGGCTAGGGGTGCAGACCAGTAAATAAACTGCCAAAGACCCCCGATAATAAATGCGCCCAATTCTAAAACTCAGGAAAAATACAAACTCTCTGATGACGTGTTCGAGACACAGGGACCGAGACACACATCAATTTTTCGCATATTTCATCATCTTTAATTTTCTGTTCAATTTTTTAAGTTGGGGTTATCCAAAGACTATTCGAGCATTAAAATCATTATTTGACTGTTTTTTGTACAACTACAACACGTTGGTCATGTATTAATTGTCGCCCTGTACTACACCGAACTGTTAGGCACATGCATGATTTGCATACCTACCTGTAGCTTGATGGATTCAATTTGACAGGTAACAACTACATGTACTACCTTCAAGATTGATCTTCGTTCGTACAAAGCGGGCGTGCTAATTATTAGAGAGGATGCCGACTGTGTGGAGAATACTGAGCCGCTGGCCCAATGAAAATTGAAGATCAAGCGCATTGGTGACGGACTGAAGAAAGCGGATTATCGATTTGAAAACGGAGAAACTGGGGAAAAGCTGCATGGACTAAAATGCCACTGCATCTCTAGCTTAATGTTTAGGATTGAAAAATAAGTCAAAAAATTGCGAAATTGGAGGTCTGGAAACAAGTAAAAACTCAGTAACAATGTTACAAATGTACCGTTTGAAGAACAAATATTGAAAGGGCATTGAATGTACATCTTAGACGCTTTTTTTCAGCAAAACAAAAACAATTCACACACACCGATACATGTAGATTTGTCAAGTTTTCATTTTGCTGAAAGAACGCTTACCTTTTTGTGATTCGTGGACAAAACTTTAGAACGGCGGTTGTGTTTAAAATTCCGTTACTTGACAATTACATGATTGATTTGAATGATTTTTGTACTAAAAGAACTTCAACAGGTTATAGTAGCACCCGATAGAAGCAAAAGAGTATGGATGGATGATGCTAGCGCTACAGCCTAACAATATTATTCGAATCTCGGTCATCTCTGCCCGTAAACAAATCATTGAGTGAAATTACTCGACGTGTATACCCACGGTAAAACAATGGTGGGTTGGTCCTAAAAGTACTCTGACAGCCTAAATAATAATTAGATGACACGGGGAATTTCAATATTTGCCAAAACCTGGTAAAAACAATGCAAAAAAAGTGATACATGATTCGACTACCTGGTAAGTTTAAGTTATGGCTTTAACATTCCGTCTCTTTTGACTAATCATCGGCAATGCGTTTCATTTTCTAAGCGCAGTGAGGAGCCATTATCGCTCTAATTTTTAATAATGCTTGGTTTGACGAGAATAAGCATAACAAAATAATGGAGCCCGATAGTCTTTTTAAATGAGCAGCTTTGAAGACGAGTTTGAAATAATATATTTTTAAAATTATTTTCTCATTCATTCATTTCGATGATTGACAGGTAACTGCCTTCAAGCTGATTGGTCTTCGTTGGTACAAAACGGGCGCTAAGGTTGCAGACAGTGGCGTAGCCAGGAATTTTTCAGTGGGGGCGCTGGGGGGGGGGGGGCGTCATGTAGGGGCGTCAATCGCTTCTCAAAAGTGTGGGGGGGGGATATTCCTTGATCAGAACTGAAAATTTGATTCTAGATGTTCTGTGGTGCTATCTGACGCAATTTCTGACCACTTTAACCAATATTTTCTAAGCAAAAGATACATTGTAGTACATAATAGGGCCCTGTAAATGAGACACGAGTTCAAAAATCGGGGGGGGGGGACATTTGATATTGTGTCCCCCACCCTTCAAAAAGTGGGGGGGGGGGGGGGACCAGTCCCCCTGTCCCCCCAGGATTGACGCCCATGGCGTCATGTAGATCAATGATAATTTTTTTAGAAACTCAAAATCTCAGTTGGGGGGGGGGGCGACTGGGGGGGACGACAAGGTTTCATGGGGAAGGGGGCTGTCACCCCCACGGCCCCCCCCCCCCCCCGTGGCTACGCCACTGATTTCAAGGAATTTTAATTGGTTTATTATTATTATTTAGCTTATATGAATGGAGGAAAAAGTTTGTGCGTGGCCGATTCGCGTGATATCGCTGACTGAAACTGTGTGACCCACGGACCACCTGTCTATTATAATACGTGTTGTCACGCCGGTTGTCAGCTTACTGGTCCGCGGTCGCCGGTCGAAGGGTCGTTTCTCAGTGGTCATCATGTGGATCATTCGCGACTTTTTAGATTTAGATCAATGATAATTTTTTTAGAAACTCAAAATCTCAGTGGGGGGGGGCATACTATTTCGTTTTACTGTTTTGGATTTCCTCAAAAACAAAAACAGTGGCCTAAACGAACCATTGACCGTTTTGTCGTTTTACAGTTTTGTAAAACGGTCAAACGGTATTAAGTCACACACAAAAAATACTTTTTGTTGTTGTTTTTGATTGTAGAAAGCGTTAAACGGTTAGTTGCCTTATTTTTAGAGTGTTGTTTTACAAAATCATGACAATAACAAAACGGTCAATACTCTTGCCGACCATTTTTTGATTTTAGGTTCGGCAATTAAGCAATGCACCGGAATGTTAATTAATGCGTCCTCGGGATCGAGTCATATTGCCTGGGCCCCTCCTTACATTTCGTTCTCACGACAAAATTTGCGAATTGGCTATTGAAGAGCCGCGTCGACTTGAACCCCAATTTCCTTCAAAAATGTCTGCAACTTCATCAAACGTCTTATTACCATCCTGTATTCATTGTGAAAAGTAATGTCCTCCCTTGAAGTTTTCCAGCGCCATTTTGCTTGGAACTCTTTAAGCCCCTCCAACTTGACTGAATCGCATGAGAAAGGCGTCAGGGTCCGCGCCAGGAATCACATCACGCATTAATTATGCCGAGGTAACACTTCTTCGTGTAAAACATGGTCCCCCTCCTCCCCCTTGCCCACCGCCACAAAATGCACCACGGACTGTTAACTATGACACTGGAATAAAAAACAATCTGTATTAAATACTGACTGTTTTTGCTGTTTTTCAAAGTTATTTGTGTAATTTGTAAAACAAAAATCATTGATCGTTATGCTATAATGAATTTTACTAAACTTATAAAACGGAGAAACCGTATTCAAGGGCGGATCGGGGGGGGGGGGGGGGGGGGCCAAAGGGGGCCATGGCCCCCCCCCCCCCAAAACGAAATCAATTTTTTTTTGACATCGCAATAACGGCAGGCAATGAGTACACCACCATCTTTTCCTCAAAAAAAAAATTGGTTAAAGTGGTCAGAAATTGCCTCAGATCGCATCACAGAGCATCTAGAATCCAAAAATTTTTCGGGGCCCTTAAGCGGGCCCCGAACCCCACGCCGTAATTTTTTTGACCCACTTTTTGGGGGGACCAAAAATGTTTTGGCCCCCCCAAAAATTGTGTTCTGGATCCGCCCTTGACCGTATTTATCTTAATACCGCTTGTCGTTTTATAACACTGTAAAACGACAAAACGGTCGATGATTCGTTTACTGTTTTTGTTTTTGAGGAAATCCAAAACGGTAAAACGAAATAACGGTATGTCCCGGGATTGAATCCGTTAATTGGTCCAGTGACGGACTGAAGAAAGATCTCTTTGAGTTTGAAAACGGTGAGACTGGCAAAAAGCTACATGGACTAAAATGCTAATGTCTGCATCTCCAGCTAAGTTAAGGTTGAAAAAAAATAACAGTGATTTTCGCTGCAGCAATTAGTGAATCTTATGGGACTGTTTAAGCCAATAAAATTGATGAGATTTTTTTTTACATGTAACGGCTGGGGCGAAGTGAGGATGGGGCGAAGTGGGGATGGGGCGAAGGGGGGATGGGGCGAAGGGGGATGGGGCGAAGTGGGGACAAGGGCGGATCCAGGGGGGGCCAAAGGGGGCCATGCCCCCCCCCCAAAAAAAACGAAATCAATTTTTTTTTTTATGTGACATCGCAATAACGGCAGGCAATGAGTACACCACCATCTTTTCCTCAAAAAAAACCCATTGGTTAAAGTGGTCAGAAATTGCCTCAGATCGCACCACAGAGCATCTAGAATCCAAAAAATTTTCGGGGCCCTTAAGCGGGCCCCGAACCCCACGCCGAATTTTTTTTGACCCACTTTTTGGGGGGACCAAATTTTTTTTGGCCCCCCAAAAAATTGTGTTCTGGATCCGCCCTTGAGTGGGGAAGGGGCGAAGGGGGATGGGGCGAAGTGGTTAGGGGCGAAGTGACATGGGGCGAAGTGGAAATGGGGCGAAGTGTCCGACATTCTATATGTCTATGTTGTGCGCTTTCTTGAAAATCAAGCATTCTTAAGAATGTGCACGCACATTCTTATGATTGTGCAACCGGATCCTTGCGCAATCTTTGCAAAAAATAACTCTTCCAGATTGAGCGCACATTCTTAAGAATGCGCGACAAGATAACGGTCTTGTCGATACCGAGCACCTGCTGCGCTTGGCAAGTCTAGCTGCATCCTCGTTCACTGATTCTTAATAATTATACTGTTG